GACTCTACAGTCAACCATCTACAACTCGTCGTGGTCATCGGGCATCTCATCGTCACCACCGGGGCCGCCAGCGCCGTAGAGCTTGGAGGTGATGGGGTAGGCGACGTCGGACAGCTTCTGGAACTGCTCGTCAAAGTCCTCAGCGGCGGCCTCGGCGGCGTTGCTCTCGAGCCAGTCCTGGGTCTCCTTGACGGCCTCGAGGAGAGACTCCTTGTCCTCCTCCTCGATCTTGCCACCAAGACCCTCGTCGTCGTTGACCTGGTTCTTGAGGCTGTAGGCGTAGTTCTCGAGCTTGTTGCGGGATTCAATGCGCTCGCGGTTGGCCTTGTCTTCCTCGGCGTACTTCTCAGCCTCCTCAACCATGCGCTCAATGTCTTCCTTGCTGAGACGGCCCTTGTCGTTGGTGATGGTGATGGATTCACCCTTACCAGTGCCCTTGTCGATAGCGCCGACCTTGAGAATACCGTTGGCATCGAGCTCGAAAGTGACCTCGATCTGGGGGACACCACGGGGCGCGGGAGGGATGTTGGTAAGCTCGAACTTTCCAAGTTGGTTGCTGCAGACATAGGTTAGCCAATCGATCTTTGTAGTGGACATGCAATGGCGCGGTAGACACTTACTTGTCCTTTGTCATGGCTCGCTCTCCTTCGAATACCTGGATCAAGACTACGGGCTGGTTGTCGGCGGCGGTGGAGAAGATCTGGCTCTTCTTGGTGGGGATGATAGTACCACGCTTGATAAGGGTGGTCATGACACCGCCAGTGGTCTCAATACCGAGGGTAAGAGGGTTGACATCCATGAGAACGACGTCGCCGGTGGCGGCGTCACCGGTGAGAATACCACCCTGAACAGCAGCACCGTAAGCGACAGCCTCATCGGGGTTGACATCCTTGCGGGCCTTCTTTCCGAAGTACTCCTCAAGCATGGCCTGGACCTTGGGAATACGAGTGGAACCTCCAACGAGAACAATGTCGTCGATTTCGCTCTTCTTCATCTTGGCGTCCTTGAGAACCTGTTCAACGGGCTTGAGGGTCTTCTTGAAGAGGTCGTTGTTGAGCTCCTCGAACTTGGCGCGGGTGAGGGTCTCGGAGAAGTCCTTGCCCTTGAAGAAAGACTCAATCTCGATCTTGGTGGTCTTCTGGGAAGAGAGAGTACGCTTGGCCTTCTCAACCTCGCGCTTCAACTTGGACATGGTCTTGGAGTCCTTGGTGATGTCGACGTCGTTCTCCTTGTTGTACTTCTTGGTGAAGTAGTTGATGACACGGTTGTCAAAATCTTCACCACCGAGATGAGTGTCACCAGCGGTAGACAGGACCTCGAAAACGCCGGATTCGATAGTCAGGATGGATACATCGAAAGTACCACCACCGAGATCGTAGACGAGAACCTGGCGTTCCTTCTGGTCGGTCTGTGGTGCGTTAGCTGAGTTGCTTCAACGGAGGATGCTGATGTCTTACCTTGTCGAGGCCGTAAGCCAGAGCGGCAGCGGTGGGCTCGTTCACAACACGGAGAACATTGAGACCAGCGATAGTTCCGGCGTCCTTGGTGGCGGCACGCTGAGCGTCGTTGAAGTAGGCGGGAACGGTAACGACGGCGTTCTTGACAGGCTCGCCAAGATAGCTCTCGGCCACCTCCTTCATCTTGCCCAGAACCATGGCGGAGACCTCCTCGGGGGTGAAGGTCTTCTCCTCGCCGTGAACCGCAACGGAAACCTTGGGTTGACCGCTCTTGTTGACGACCTTGAAGGGGAAGTGTTTGATGTCATTCTGGACAGACTTCTCCTTGTACTTGAGACCGATGAGACGTTTCTACTCCACAGTCAGTATGCCAGCCTTCCAACAAGGGTATACGGGAGTGTACGTACGATATCGAAGATGGTGCGTTCGGGGTTGGAGGCGAACTGGTTCTTGGCGGCGTCTCCGACAAGACGCTCGTCATCGGTGAAGGCTACCCAGGAAGGTGTGATACGGTTACCTGGAGAGGACACATGTCAGTTTGGGTGTGTGGGTTGGTCGAGCACGCAGACTTACCCTGGTCGTTGGTGATGATCTCAACCTTTCCGTTCTTCATAATACCGACACAAGAGTAGGTGGTTCCGAGATCGATACCGATGACGGGGCCGGAGACACCATTGGCGTCCTCCTTGATGGGCTCCTGGTCCTGGGCGTGTGCTGTCTTAGCCAGCATCAGACCGCCGACAAGGACGAGGAGGAGGTAGAAGGCAATGGACCATGTTGAGCGCTGGTTGGCGCCCCGCGAGCTTCGTGCCATTGTGATGTGTGTGTAGTCGTCAAGACTGGGGGTATGGCCTAGATGCCAGGTGCAAGTGCGGGCGTAACTCTCTGGGAGCTCGCAATGTGTGGAGTAGACGGGGCTCTCCGGGTATCGCTGGGAAAGAAACAAAAGGCGAGTTGCGGTGGTTGCAGTTGCAAGGTGAGTGGAGGAGGGAGGGCAAGTAGCGGTGGGCGGCTACTGTTATATGGACACGTCGTGGAAGTATTTCGAAAGAACACCTTGCGATCTCGAGGATCTTGCTCCGCAAACGGTCTAGCGCGCTGCTCGCCCATGGCCCGTTCACTTTGCCCCAACCGCCCGCATCAGCCTCAATTTCACCTGCGTTTGACGCAGCTGGCTACAGGACACGTGTAATTCGCTAGCACTGGGCTTTCACTGCGCCCGTGTAACAGGTGTGACTCCGCGCTATGCAGACCCATAGGCCACAGTAGCTTCTTGTGCAGACGACGATGGGGAAGTCGCAGCTCCGTCGTTATCTGCTATCGTGCCTCTAGGCCAATTTACCCCTCCATCTAAGCGAACGCGAACATCTACAAACCTCGGTCCTCTACCATCTTGACGTTCAAGTCGCGAATGAACTCATCTGGATTGCAAAATCGCCGTTTCCACTCTGCGCAACCCCCCAGCCAGTCTGAGTCGCTGCGTCGGTAATCTCGGACACGGCCCTCGTTGTCTGTCCCAAGTTCCAGGTGTCCTTTCGGTAGTCTTCCAGTCGCTAGGCAGACAGATCTACACGAGACACCGGCTCCACCGCACCGCCAACACCATCCACCTCGATGACTCCTTGGTCGATATGCAACGTTTCCTCAATCTTTTTGCCACGAGTGTGAACACGCTGCTTCGAATCTTCACAGCTGCCTAGCAGAAGGACGGATCAAAGCACCCTGCCCACCGTGCACGACCAGTCACTATACTTGCACATGTGAAAGGATTCGCCTGTAGGTAAAACTGGCCTCTTTGAAAGCAAGAAGTGCGAAAAACACCATAGTGCGTTGTTTGATGCTCCATTCCGGATAGCTTGAGATCTGCCCAAGAGAACCTTCGCGACCGTTCCCCTGTCCCACTCTGCCGATCAGCCGCTTCGCCGACACAACCATCGGAACCCGTCACCAGGCCCTTGCCAAAGTCTCCCTGAAAGTGCTCAGTATCTCAGCCCACCGCGCACCAGACCTGCTCTTCCACACAGCCAGACCGAGAACGCCGACACCCAAGGCGGAGGGTATCGCCTTCTTGGCAAACCTTGTTGCAACGTGTCTGAAAAACATGTCCTGCTTCTGCCTTACCCGCTTCACATGCTCGTCTCTCTTGTTCTTGACAGGGAATGGCTCCTCTGGCACCTCTTTCTCGAGGAATTCGCATAGCGGCTTCCAGCCATCCTCCAAGCGGAACTCGAGCAAGCGCTCGGCAGGCACCGCAGCACGGATCTCCGCGTAGTGTTTCCTATATCGATCCTTGGCAATCCGCCGCATCTCATGCACATTACGCACACCATAGAAGCCCAGCATGATCTTTCGAATCGTCTTGCCGCCATTGAGACCGTACAGCGGTCCCAGTACGTTGATCACGAGATCAGCGCGAAGCCCCCATGTCGTGCTGAAGATGGCCGCCTCCATACTGTCGTACCACTCGTCGATATCACGTTCCACCAAGATTAGCTTCGCCTCGGGATAGGCCTCTATGAGCTGCGTCGCGAAGAACGAGCTCATGTCGGTGACGGCCTCATAAGGCCCAAAGATAACGTCCCAATCGGCGCGTGTGAATGGTGCGCCTGTATAGGTCGGCAGCGAAGGGTAAAAGGCATCGCATGCTTTGCTGAAGAACTCCCACTCAATTGGGGAACTAATGGCCTGGATGCCGTGGTGCACGCCTTGGTATCCGAGAATCTCGAGAGCTTGAGTGATGGAGGCCGACCCTACCCTCGCTTCAGTCAGCTTCTCCCAACGGCTGTAACAATAGCAAAAGCCAATGTTGGAGGAACTCACCAGTACGCGTCATCCCCAATGAAAGCACCTTCAGCTCCCGCTTTGGGCGTTCGGCAATGGAAGTTGGTGTTGCCATGGCTCAGACCAAAGCTGGTTTCAGTCACGCAGAATGGCTGACGAGAGAAGATGGTCGGGAGTACGACAGAAGGTGATATTTCTCGACCGTTGTAAGCTCGGCAGAGAGGTGACTATCCCAAGTTGCTGCTCACCGTGGACCGTGGTAAACATTCCATACTCATTTATTGGACCGCCTACCACGTGGTCAAAGGAGTGGCCATCTTACTTGCCGCTGTCTAACTCGAATGTGAGCGCCGAAGAGCGCCCACTGCTATCAATACGATCTACCGGTAGACCCCATCCTAGTTTCAACACGCTCGGGCCGAAGTGTAACGGGCCGAGTAAAGTGCCACTGCAAACGCATCGCGCATAATTGGTCTACACTCCAAGAGTACAACGGAACACGCGCAACCAACATCCTGGCTTGGTAAAAATGTTATTGGAAAGACAGGCTTTCTGCTGTCGAATCACATGAGGTAAATCAACGATGTCCGGGTCTGATACACGCACACACATCATCACCCGTATTCACCGTATTCACCGTATAGGGCGTACTTGGCAGTCATGAGGCCTACGCAAGCGTTCTGTACACTGTTCTGACGCTGCCGGTATGCATAGCCTTGTAGATTTACGTGCTGATACAACAGATGCTCAATCAAGTTCTGACTACCGCCTCGGCCTGATGGAGACCATGAGCGGCTTCTTCTCCCAGACCAAATACGACTTTTGTGTGATCCACCACTTCTCACTGTTTGGGCTGAGCGAGATGTCAAAGTTCCAGAAGAGCTTAGCCAAAGCCAGTCTCATCTCATTCATAGCCATACTGGAAAACCATGAAGTCAGCGATCGTTCCACCGATACCGAAAAGGGAAAGAGAGATCTTACGTTTGTCCAATGCAATCATGTCTACCATAGGAGAAAGGACGAGATGCACCTCGGTCATCACGAGCAAACTCCCTATCTTTCGTCTGCAGCCACCTCTCTGGGATAAAGTCAAGAGGCCGGTACCAGTTCCATGGAGCGTGACAGGCTGCGAGATTGTGCATGCCTACAGCTGTCTGTTGGTCGACTAGTCAGTACAAACTCGCCACGGCCGAGACGCGAACAAATACTTACACCTCCCGGTACCCATTTTCCATCTATCTCCTCTCCACCCTCTGGAACCCAGCGCGGCAAAGCTGATGGCGTAGGCGGCGATATACGCATCGACTCCTCGATGCAGGCCTTCAAGTAAACCAGCTCACCAGCAGCAACCATGCTAATCTCCTCTTCGCTCGCAAACCTACCCCGCACCTCGGCAATAACCTTCTTATAGGCGTCCGAATGCCCACAAACGAAGAAGACAAATGCGCTCATCGTATACGTAGTCGTGTTGCTGCCCGCCACAATCAACGCGCTCGCCATACCAAAAAGATCCATGTTACTCAAATTCTCATTCTCGTTACCAAGGATGTAGCTCATGAAATCCCGTCTCTTCCCTTTTCGGGTGCCAGCACGCTCCTCATCAATCCGTCGCTGTACCTTTTGGAGGGTGAGTGTTTGATGCCGCTTCCGCGCCTCCATGGCCGCTTTGGGTGCCGTCCATTTGAGTATCCACTCGATATGGTAGTACGTAGCGAGTTGATACCAAACAATGCTTTTGACGCGCGATCCGATAACGTCAAGCCAGGGCTCATCGGCGCGGTCGAGACAGCCCGCGGGTTGTCCGAAGGCCAGGTCGCTCATGATGTCGAAACTCAATAGGCTGAACCAGCGGAGGATATTCTGCTCTACAGCATGATACTGTGGTTTCCGTAACTGAACAACAAGCCGATCAGTGTGGTCCCGAAAAAAATCTTCTTGATCCCGCAATGCGCGCTCACTGAACGCTGGCTGAAGCGCACGCCGGAGCACGGCATGGCGCTCAGGTGTCTCGGTAACGATACTACGACGTCCATTCACGACCGCAGGAGCGATTCCACGCCCGTCCAGACACTTGAGAAACTCGCGAGGTGGAGGTGAGCCGTCGATCTTCTTCAAGGCTGTGCTGCTGGTGTAGGACAGCTCGTCGGGTGCGATGCGTATCACGGGGCTGTTGTAGTAGATGTGCATGTCGCGGATGCGCCATGCGAGATCGCCGCGGAGGTTGACATAGTGCCAGGGGAGGCGGGAGATGGCCCAGAGTTTTGGGCCTGGAAAGCGTGAAAGGGGGTGGAGGGTGAGGTAGTAGAGGGAGCGGAGGAGGAAGTAAAGTACAGGCTGTGCGCGGTTAGGATGTTGGAGGTTCCTTATGGTGTTGAAGGTGTTGGCGTACACTAAGGAAGATGAGAAGGGCTATAGTGAACAACATCTCGGCGTTGAGCTTGGTGTTCGCTCGTTCTGGTTCTTCTACCCAAGTCTCAAACAATGAGCTTCATGGCCGCACTCAAGGTAGTGGCATCGCCAGATATCTTCTTTCACGCAAGTAAGGCGGACCAATCATTTCCATCTCGATTGCTGATTCTCCTTCGTACGTAGGACAGTTCTGGCATCGTTGCCATCGTCGCAGATGCAGCAGTCGACGAGCCAATGGGAGTAAACGGATCTCCACGTGGCTGATCGACTTACCGTGAGCGTCTGATCTCGAATGCGACTCCACTTGTAGTCCACGATATTGTAACCCCACGCTGCCCCTGCTCTCGGCGCTACTAGTACTTCGATCCCGCATTCGGTCCGGCCTCGTTAGTGAGGCCTAGTCGCCGTTGGTTGCTGTACTGACTCGGGACTTGCATGGCATCGTTACGAGGTCAGTGGTGATGGAAGAGGAAAGAGCGAGGGCTCAGCGTACATTCTGTCATGAGCGTTGGGGTTCTAAGTTAGGAGAGGTCGAGAGAACACAGCACGTGACTACACTCACACTGGCACCACCATGCAAGAGTTGAGCCACAGTTGAGTCAACCAATTGAAATGACGCACCAGTACAGCTCGTCTAAAGCCACCACAGTTTACTCAACAGCAACCCTCAAGCTACACAAAACCGCCTCTTCCCTCTTCATTGGGCTCCCGGGACTGCACACTACCGTAAAATTATGCCAATCCCTCTCTAAATCCACATCCAGTCCCTCGATAACATCAAACCTCTGCACCAACCTCACAATCACATACCCCGCCTCCGTAAGCGCAAACTGCTGCCCAATACAAATACGCGGCCCGCCGTTGAACGGGACGTACTGCCACGTTGACCCCGGTCTCCTCTTCTCCCAGCGTTCAGGTACGAATTCATCGGCGTCTTCGCCCCAGAGATCTTTCCGGCGGTGCAGGACGTGCGTGCTGAAGTTTACTTCTGTGCCTGCGGGGACGAAGATGGGGAGGGTGCCCGAGGGGCCGCCGCCGGTGGGGAGGGTGGTGTCGCGGATGGCGCAGCGGGAGTTGAACGGTACCACCGAATGTAATCGGAGTGTTTCGTTCAGAACATATTGTAGATACGTGCAGCTCTTGAGTTTCTCGAACGTGATACTCTGTCCAACGACGGTACTTGAGTAAGACCCAAATTCCGCGAGAATGGTTTCTCGCAGCTTTTTGTACACCCGTGGGTTCCGCACTAAGCAGTAGAACACCCATGATGTAAGTGATGCTGTCGTGTCTCGACCTGCGGCTAGCAGACCGAGAACTTGCTCGCGCACTTCAGCGCGGTCGGCACAGCGCGATCGCAGTGTTTCGAGGAAGTCGTAGCGGAGAGACGAGGAACCTTGTTTTCTCGCTTGATCTGCGGCGTCGATGGCGCGGTCGACGAAGGCGTGGAGAGTGTTGATGCATTTGTTTAGCTCGGTGTTGCCGTAGAGCCAGTAGAAGCTGCGAAGGCGCATTCTAATTCCGAGGATGGTCAACATTCGCTCGAATGCGTGGTCGAAGCTGTCTTCTTCATGATTCTCGTCGCCTTCCTTCTCCTGTCGCTGCTCATCAAGCAACTTATCAAGCGATCCAGTACTCATTCCCAAAAAGAACTCCGTCGCCGAGTCCATCGTCAGCTTCGGTAGCAACGCCGCTAAACTGACAGGCGCAGACCACGCCCTCCCCTCCGCATCAACCCTCAGCCCCCCCTCTTTCCCCTCAATAACTCGTAACAAACTCCCCACATGCCCCTCCAACACCTCCGACCGACTCACATTCTCCCTACTAAACAGCGGCCGCATAGTCTCCCTCGCTCTATGCCAAGCCACTCCATCAACAGCAAAGATACTGCGCCCGAGCGCCCGTTTCAAATTCGTGCGTCGTGCTGTACCCATGATGAAGTCGTCGAATTGCGTGGCGAGTAGCGCTTGGATGTTGCGTGGCTCGGCGGTGATGAGGTTGGTGGTGCCGAGCAGGGATATGGCCCATGTGTACCGGTTCATGGCCATGAAGCGCGAGAAGACGAAGTCGGGGGTGCGTTGCTCGCGGTCGGCGAGGAGGCTGCGGCGGATGGTGTCGATGCCGAAGGGGAGGTTGTAGGGCTCGATGGGGACGGGACCGCATCCTAGATGGCGGCTTTTGAGGTGGTTGCGGAGGGGCTTGAAAATGAGGGCATTGGTTAGATGGATTAAAAGGAGGAGGCCTGCGCCTAGGAGAAGAAGGTGTGTTTGCATCTTTGGTGGAGAACCTTCTGGTGTTGAAGCTGTGTGGATCTAGAAGTGCGCCACTCTAGGTTTAAGTATGCTGGCGAGCTATTCATCCTGACGCACCAATCTTGACCCACGTGCATAGCACCAAGCAGGGGGTGGTTATCCAGTCGAGCTTCTGGATTCTGAGCTGGAAACCGCCCGCGTGGCGTTGCTTGTGGGAATGGCCGGGAGCGAGTCATTGCGTTTGCGGTGCATGTCCCATCATGATAACACCGCGGTTATTTTTTCGATACCTCGCTATCTACATCGCTATACGCGAGGCATATATACATCAGAAACACCTCCATGGCTTCATCTTCGGCTGCCGCTATTCATCCAAATCAGACACGGGCGTCAGCTTGACCATCAAAGGCAGCTTCTCCCACACCAAGTAAGTGCCCTGCTTGTTCCACCAGTCGTTACCAGGATCATGCAGTTCCCAATCAAAGAACCGTACCAATTTCGCCATCGTAAGTGACATCTCCGCGTAAGCCATAGATCGTCCGATACAAGCCCTCTGACCGTACGAAAACGGCTGGACAGCAGATCGGTCATCATCCTTGAACTCTTCGGGTGCGTCATCTAGCCAGCGCTCCGGATGGAACTCACGAGCCTTCTTGAAGTTACGCTCAGAGTGTCCGGCTGCCAGCTGATTAACGGCAACAGCATAACCACCCGGAACCCATTTGCCCTCGATCATTTCGCCCTTTCCAGGAACGAAGCGTGGCAGTGAGCCTGGAGTTGGTGGGTAGAGACGCATGCCCTCGTTGAGGCAAGCGCGCAGGTACTTGCAGCTTGTAACTGCTTGAAGAGTCATGTCTGCGCGACTTTTGAACAGGCCACGTATCTCTTGCTTGAGCTTCTCGAGTTTATCTGGGTTGCGCAGGAGAAGGTATGTCAGGCCGGACATACCGCCTGCCGATGTGCCACTGCCGGCTACGATGAAGTTGGAGGAGAGCATGACCAGTTCAAGGTGGTTGAGCTTCTCGTCGTTCTCGAGGATGTAGGACCTGATCAGACACTGAGTCAGTATTGTTTCGACTGGGTAATGCGTCGATTGAGCTTACATGAAATCCTTCCCAGGGTTCTTGGCTTCGACACGCGCCTTCAACTTGGCTTCCGTCATCGCGATGTGCTTCTTCCTTGACTCGGTGACGTACTTCGGCGTCATCCAATTGAGCAGACCCATGAAGCCGTACTGTACGGCAAGCTGGAACCAGACGATAGCCTTTGCGCGAGCGAGGATAGCTTGGATCCATGGTTGCTCGGGGTTGTTGACGCAGCCTGATGGTTCGCCGAAAGCCAGGTCGGATACGATATCGAATGCGACGAGGTTGTACCATGTAGTCATGTCGACGGGTCCGTCTTTGCTTCGTTCCTTGAGCTTCTGGACGAGGTTATCCGAGTGGTCTTGGAAGTAACTTTCTTGTTCGCGCCTAGCATGAGATCAGTATTGTCACCCCATGCCTGGATTTCGATGAATAGACTCACAGCGCTCTCTGACTGAAAGCCGGATCGATAGCTCTTCTCAACCTCAAGTGTCGATCTTGATGCTCAGTCATCAAGCTACGTTGGCCACCTATACTCGCAGGCGCGATACCTCTACCGTCAAGAGCCTTCACGAACTCAGGGTTTCGTTGTCCATATATCTTCTTCCACGCTCCCGAAGTCGTGTAAGAGAGCTCATCAGGAGCGATGCGCACAACAGGACCGTATTTGTCGTGAAGCTCGCGGATCTTCCAGCTGATCCGTCCCTTCATGTTTGCGCGATTCCATGGTAGACGAGAGATGGCCCAGAGCTTCGGCCCCGGATAGCCAGCTAGAGGGCTGAGGTAGAGATTGTATACGACCTTGAAGAAGACGTGAAGCAGGATCTGGTAATCTTTGTGAGATGATTCAGAAGCCAAGTTGGGACTTGCGTGAACTTACGAGCACGAAGATACCGACGGTAATGTTTCGCAATGTCAGTGGTCGTGCTTGGCGCAATTGTTGCCACAGGCTATCTGGTATGAAAGCAGCGGCCATGATGTTGTGAAGTTGCCAGACTGTGACGAAACTCAGAGCCAGCGGTTCGAGAGCCGGGAGATGGACAGCTCAGTCTTCTCCAGCTCATCACCCCATTGAATGCTCACAATGCCGGAGGCATCTATCCCGACGTGTTCGATCCATGCGGCATCTGGCAAAAACCTCCAATTCCATTACTATCGCCAAACGTCGCACCTGCCGACCGATGGTGCAGACCAGAAGTAGCCAATTGCATCCCCTCAATTACGCACGCTCTGCTACAGTTGGTGTTTAAAGAGACTGAAGTTTTCCGCGGTGAAGACACGAAGGTGAGCTCAGGTGACCCGGACTTTCATTCGGCCCTTGGTTGTCGGGCCGATCCTGTCTCCGAAATGGCTTGCAGATAGTCGGCTGTGCGTATGCGATTGTGGATACTGGCGGGAAACATGGGTTTTCCAGCAGTGCGCAAACGATTATGTGCAGCTGGGCCACGTGTTTGGGGTGAATGGTGAAAGCTTGACCACGGGTACGGAGAAAAATGACTCGTGATTACTACCCGGCAATGCAGTGTAAGATAGAGCATTTCTATACCCCTGTTGATCTAGAAGTATGCCAGTTCCTCTTGCGTAGCCTCCAGCACGCCGTATCGTTGGGTTGCTGGCCTGTCAATGTGTCGAAGAGATGGGCTGTGATGACGAGCTGGTTGTCTGTGGGTAGCTGAGCATCTCGTTGTACGAAACACCATCTCTTTTCGGTCTTGACGTCTCTCTTTGGTATCGCCAGTTCACGTGGTGACATCTTTATCACCAAAAAACATGGATAGTCAACATGGCTCCGACGACGTGCTTGCCTCATCGGCAAAGACAATCCGTGCCGAGCTTCAAGAGAAGCTTTCCAGCGAAGCGCGAATTCATCTTCCGTTCGACATGGACAAAACGGGCTTCGACAAGGGCAACCTTCGCTTCACTCAGTACGAGCGCCCAACATACCTCGCTATCGTCGAGCCAGGTTGTGAAAACGATGTAGTTGAGGTCGTCAAATATGCGCGGGAGAAGGGTATTCCATTCACACCCCGTGGTGGCCACCATGCAGTCACTACCACGATGAGACATTTCAAGAACGGTATATGTATCAACATGCGCCCACTCAACCACATGCGATGGGACGCTGAGAAACGGCATGTTACCGCCGGTGGTGGAGCGGTCACTGATGAGTTCGTGCGCTTCGTGCATGATTTGGGTATGGAAGTCAGTAAGTGTAACAGCATCTTCGCTGAGAGTGAAAGTACTTACAAAGCTGGTAGATGTAGGGTCGTGTCCTACGACTGGTGTTATTGGCGTAGCGTTTGGTGCAGGGCTTGGCCGTTTACAAGGCAAATATGGCTTTCTAAACGACAACATGGTGTCTTGCAAGCTCGTGCTCGCCGATGGAAGCGTAGTGGTTGCATCCAAGGACTCGCATCCGGAATTGTTCTGGGCGATTCGTGGCGCAGGCCACAATTTTGGCATTGCAGTCGAGGTCACGTTTCAGGTCTATCCGCAGCCGCACGGAGGTATACACCATACTTGGGATCTGGAGTATACATTGGATCAGTGCGATGCGGTGTTTGAGACGCTGAATAGCGTCTATGAGACTATGCCGGCTGATTTGGCAATCTTCGTCCTATGGTTGCGCCAGAGCAGCGGTCGCAAAGTAGGTCGCTTAACGAGTAAGGCATCCACGCTGCTAACAAGGCCCAGCACATCATTCTCATCAACCTAGTCTGGTCTGGTCCAGCTGCGGGTGCAGACCCCTATGTGCAACGCTTCGAGTCCCTGGGCCCAGTCTTGATCACCGGGCGGAAGTCCGTGTCATGGCCAGAGCTACCGTTCACCACCTACAAAGAGATAAACAAGCTCTTTTGCAATCCCGAAGTCTGGCTCCGAGGCCCCTATAAGATGATGGGGGCCGCCTGTGTCGATAAGTTCGACCTCAAGACGACACGCGAGTTCTTTGAGAGTGTCAAAGCTATGAGTGAGGAATGGGAGGACCGCGGTTGGTTCAGTGCCATGTTCGAATGCCTGCCTGACCAGCGTGCTCGCGAGATCCCCGACGATGCGACAGCCTTTCCGTGGCGCGGAGGTTCAAATCATTTCCTGTGAGTGTACCGCATTGGTTCTATACGAAGCAAGTTCTGACTTATGGGATGTAGTATGCTGAATGCGACACCAAAGCGACTGGAAGACCGCAAGGTTTTCGAGGACCATCTCAACTACTGGAAGCAACGCTTCGTCGAGACGTCTGGATACGGCCGTTTGCAACAGTATGTGAGCTATGGCAATGGCACGGCGACCTTCAAGGACCCGCCCGAAGCACTGTACGGCTACGAGCCTTGGAGATTGGAAAAGCTACGGCTTCTCAAGCAGAGATATGACCCTGACAATGCGTTTCGATGGTACCAACCACTCGTTGAGTCATGAGGTACCTACTGTAGATATTTGGAGCAGCATCCAATGTAGACATAGCTTACCCACGATTTTGTTTGATGAAAACCGTATTAAGCAACATGATCCTGCCTGCGCTTACGCGCGGGCCTTTGGACATGGCGGCGACACCCTTGGTGTACCTCTGAGCGTTTTGAGATATTCGATAGCTTAGCAGATACGATACCAACTCCCTGCTGAACAGTAAAACGCCACGTGCGTACACGTGGGCCTGAAGAGTGGCCTGTAGATGTTGCTAGAACTCCGAAATCTGGCCAAATCGCGGGCGCAATAGGGAGTGGGTACTCTGGCGCATCGTGACCCACGCTGGACTTCGAAGCGAGAACAACAGCAGTACGATCTGGGGAAACATCTGAGGCCGAAGCTAATAATTCTCCGATTATAAGGGCCTTCGGTGGGTCGAAAAGGTCTTGGGGAGTCTTGTTTAGAGTAGTGGAGACACACCTGAGTCGTGGCTTCGGTTACCCCGGTCGCCTTCAGATCTTGGGAAGATAGTCG